TTTTTTGTTTTTCATTTTTATGCTTTATGTACCATTTACTTTAAGCATTACATTTCATGTTATTTTTATTTTGCTCACTTGAGCCTTTTCTTTTCTCTTCCAAGACACCTAATAATCCACATGAACCATAAAAACCTTTAAAATACTTGGACTATTTGGTTACTATCCTTGGCATTATGGAGTATTGGACTTCTTGGACTTAGGAATAGAAACCTTGGCCTATATTGGAGACCTTGTGACCTTAATTGATATTTTGTCTGGAGTTCTTGAGGTTTACCTCAAGACATTGGGTTGTTTGTTTATTTTATGTGCAGGTTATTGTGATTACATACTTTGTTTGTAATTTGGAATTCACCTGTATACATCTGTTACTCTGCCCAATTTTTGTGAAGACTTAATACACTTGAAGTTTGTTTCTCACAAGAGGTCTAGCATCTTTGCTTGCTTGGTTTCAATCCAAAGAATTAGAATTCTATCTTGGCTCATAATGTCAAGTATTGGCTTCTTGTTGGTTAGATGGTTCTTATCCCTAGCTTTTACCTTATGCTTTAGGATAGTCCCTTCTTCTCCTCCCATCTTCTTTAATTTCAAAAATATTCTCCCTCCTTTTGAAAAACTTTTCTTGTTTTTTTTTTAATTTTTTTAAAACTTGAACCACTTTCATAATAAACTTGGACTTAGGTCCATGCATTTTCAAAACATCTTTCACAAATAAACTTCAATCAACATTAATAATACCTTGACATTTTTTGTGAGAAGACTAAAAATCAATCAATCTCATTCAAACCATTTAGCCATCTTAGCTTTCATCTTAACTTTTCTCAAAAGATTCTACTCTTGTCAATCCTTGTAGTGATGCAAACAACTATACTTCTATGATATCTAATAAAGTGAGATATTTTCCACTTGGGTGTTGAGTGAGGCATTGTTGATTTTAAAATCCAAGCCATACCCTCCACTTTGAGATGATGCAAATTCTCCTTTCTCATGATCGTGGGTAGTAAGTATGTTTTCCACGCGGACAATGATGACGATGTCTTATCTCTTAAAATCAACCAACACACTTATGTTTTAAAAATCTTTAAAAGAGGAACTACGTGTACCCTGATCCCCTATTGCACGAAAAGATGGTACGTAGGCACTAAAGGTTCACAACCGCGGCGGGTGCAAAAATCATAAAAATATATTTCTTTTCTCACCTCCACCATCCATTTTTATACAACATTATATAGCCAAAATATACAGATTTTTACAAAGAGGTTCTTGCGGAGTACCGTAGATGTTTAAGGTGCTAATACCTTCCCTTTGCATAACCAACCCCCTTACCTTGAATCTTTCCCCCCTCTTTTTTTGGGTTACTCTCTCTTTTCTCATTCCTTTGGAAACAATAAAGTGTGGTGGCGATTTTTATTTGTGATATGTATAAGTCTAGTCAATCCAATGGCTTAGTCTTAAACATTTCTACCGCTACAGGGAGGATGCTGATGGTGTTACGTACCGAGCGACATTTAGGCTGCGAGACGTATCTAGGGTTATGTGTTGGATTGTCGAGCGGTATTAGGTCGTAGGACATGCCGAGGAGCATAAGTTAGTTGTTATTATATTTTCTTTGTGCGTGTCGAGGAGTATGAATCGGTCGTTATGTTGTCCTAGTTGTTATGCATATCGAGGGGCACGTAGTTTCCTATCCCTTTTGCTCGTACATGCTATGTTATGGTCGTTACCAGTGCTGTGTGAATTATTATTAAGCTTCCGTATGATTATGTTAATGATTGAATCGTTGATTGATGTGGTAGGCTTATGGCCAATGTTGATTTATATTGAGTTGTTGTGTTGTTGTGATTGTTGCTGTGAATTCTTATTGATAATGTGAAGTTGCAGGGAATTTTAAATGATGATAAATTACCTCTATTTAATGGTAATAATGGTGATGTAGGCTTATGCCTTGCGATGAATGACGATTGTTGTGAGTATGTCATAGTGCATTCATTGAGTCATATACATTTGCATACTCTGTGATAGCCTGAATTGGCAAACTGCAAATAAGGCTTATGCCTTGTTGATGCCTCTATTTATTGGCAGGATTTTTAAGATGGGAGTTCTGCTCCATTGGTACCACATGCATTTGCATAAAGATGATTTGCATTCTGTGTGCATTCCGAGTCGTTGCGTGGTTGATTTAATTATGCCTATGTTGTTAAAAATCTGAGAAGTGGTGAATATGTATGAACTGATTCTATGTTTTATTTATCATGCATTCTATTATAATGTTCGATATCTCACCCATTCCTTGAATGTTACCCCGATGTTGGTAACGTGCAGGTAATCTAGAGTGAAGGCGGTTTACCTTCAGTAGTTCGAGTCAGTGTCATTTCTTTGATACATAACACTTAGGGGGATGAACGCTTGTTGTTTTATTGTTGTTATTTCAGTTGATTGAACTTTAAGTTGTTGTTTTAAAAGATTGTTATTTGAAGTTGTCTTAGTGGGACAAAGATGTTACATTCCTTTAAGTTGAATATTATGACTCCACTGCGTAGTTATGAAAGTTAATGTTTCTTTTTAAGATTGAATTATGGTTGTTGTTGGTTCATCCAAGTTTAATGTGTGATGTATCGATAATGAATGCCGTTGTTTTAAGTTGAATTTGTGGTATCCTGATTTAGTTGTTGAATTTTTATAACTCTGATATATATATATATATATATATATATATATATATATATATATATATATATATATATATATATATATATATATATATATATATATATATATATATATATATATATATATATATATATATATATATATATATATATATATATATATATATATATATATATATATATATATATATATATATATATATATATATATATATATATATATATATATATATATATATATATATATATATATATATATATATATATATATATATATATATATATATATATATATATATATATATATATATATATATATATTGTCGGGTAGAATTAGGATGTTACAACTTGCAGGACCGGCTACAAGAGTCTTAGACTTAGTGTTAAGTTTGATATGGTGTTTTGGTATTTGAAATGGATAAGGTGTGAACCGAAACAGAAAAAAAAGGTAAAACAAAGATAAATTTGCAAATTAAAATGATAAACAAACTGAACTTTAAATAAATTACTTTGAATTAAAGGTGGACGCATGCATACATTTATCAGAAGTGACTCATTTATCTCTTGACGCAAATACTTTGAGTTTTTTTTTTACAATATTATAAAATGCAACATTTTACATGAATGAAAAAACTTGCTTAAATACACAAACAAAAGTAAATGATTATCCTACACGTTCAACGGTTATTATATAACCACGTTCGGAATTTGTGATAAAACTGCCTTTTGAGCCTTCCCACGTTTTGTGGGTAACCGCTAATGAAACTTCCTCTAAGTTACACACTTTTCTTCTTCGATTTGTACTTCAAACCCTTTATCGATCTGACTCCCTATCGACCGACCTCAAACCATTATGTTGACCCAACTTCAAACAATTTATTGAATTTTGGTAAGTCAAAAGGACGTTTCCTTGATAACCTGTCGACGCCTCTTGTCTCATCATGAGTTGTGTCGAAAATACTTTATCTTTGGTGATGACCCTTAGCTCGTAGTCAATTTCCTTAGTCGAAAATTATAGACTAACAACACCATACTCAATTTTCATTTGAGAGTGGCGCAAAGGGGTTTTCCTAGAAAAAGGATCGTCGAGAGAAGTGTGTCTATCATCAGCGCCCTCGAGTCGTTGGAGGAAAGTCACAATTATGGCAGAAACAACTGTGACACCCTGATGACTCTGATTCTTTCTTCGATTGTAACGCGACGTCGATAGAAGCCGCCCTCAAAACGGCTCATGTTCTAAAAAATCTTCTAGTTGAGTTACGATATACAAAAGAACTTTCTTATAGTTCTCATTTTTACAGAGAAGTGCCTCGTTAAGGAGATATTTGTTTTGCTATTGTAAGTGGAGGTCTCCACTCCTCGAAATCTAGAGTTGTCCCTTTCCTAATCCGAAGGTTTATGACAAAAAAAAAAAAACAAGGTGCTAATGGTTAAAAACAAAGTGAAACGTTTTACACGACAAAAGTGAAATTAAATTATTTTTTTAAATCACAAAGTATATTAGACTACACTTTCTTTTTTAGTTATAAAACTATTTTATATTATTAAGCCAAAAACATTTTATAATATTTATCTCTTTTTAGCTATACTAATATTTTCACAAGTTTTGAAATATTTATTAATTCTTTTTTTTTTAATTTTATCTCTTATTAATTTAAATAATTTGACTAAAGTTTGAAAATTCAACAATAAATACTTAAATACATTCTATACAAAAATAATATCTTTTATCTATAAACAAATTGACAATAACTACTATAAAATACATAAATGTGTAATAATATTAATATTTTATATTCTTTTCATTCTATATTATTTATCGCAATTGACTATTTTACACAGATTAAAAAACAATAAATAGAAGAGAGAATAATAATTTTACAAAATTAATTTGATTAATTGTTAGTGTATTTAAATTAGTATTAATTGATAAAATAATAAATTAAAAACATTTATTAGAGGATATAATTAAAAATAAATATAAAATTGTATTGATAATTTAAAGTGATAAGTATTTTGAATTATTTTTTTCAAATGTAATATTTATTTTGAGATGGAGGGAATAGTATATATAATTATACTTCAAATATTCATAGAACTAACAAAAAATCAATTTTTTTTATAGCTATATAATAATGATGAGAAGGAGGAGAATAGTGTCATGTTATCAGAAAAAGGGTATCATTGATTTCAGAGAGAGAGAGAAATGGGAAATAAATTGACCATAATCCACACAACAACCTTTCTACCAGAAGGACATATTCTTGAATTATGACTACTACTACTACCTTACAATTTCCTCTTGTTCTTCTTTGAAACCTTTCGATTTCCATGGCAATGGCTATCAACGCTGCTTTCTACATCGCAAAGATGACTTGGCTAGCTCTCGCTGGTTGGATCACTTCTTGCTTGACTGTTGCTGATGAATTTGCTTCTTCTCTTCGCTCTGGGGATATTGGTCCCTTCCATGTTGGTTGATTCAATTTTCCCTTTTATTTTTGTTCCAAGATGGGTATGCTTCAATTACCCTTGAGTTTATATTTGTTTTCATGTATTGGGTTTGTGTGATTAGTTTGTTTCATGCTGGAAATTGTGGTTTAGGTTAGTGATGGATGTGTTTGTTATTTGGGTTTTTTTTCTTCTGAATTGAGGAATTTTTGGGGTAAATTGTTTAAGGTTTTTTGTTATAGCATTTTAGGTTCTTGTTGTTATTGAGGGGTTTTCTGGTAAATTCAATTACAAGCAAAATCATTTGTTTCTCGGTTCTTAACTTGTTAGTACTTCAAAATTGATTAGGTGGTTGATTTACAGTTTTAAGCATTTTGTTTACTGATTTAAGCATTGGGCATTGGCTTGATGGGTTATGGGATGATTCTTGACTGATACCTTTATGTTGGTGTCGGTGTTGGATACTTATACTAATCCTTGTAATTACGTTCCATTTATTCGTTTGTTCTACTCAGACTCTGATGATAACGTGTCAGTATCAGAGTCGTGTTGTGTACCTCTGAAAAAGGCATCTCTCTGTCAGAATTGGACATCGACACCAATCCTTGTAATTACAATCAATTTATTTGATATTTCAAATCATACCGGTGTATGTCAGTGTTGGTGTCGATTTGTGTACCAGTGTTTGTGTCATTCTCAGTAGTGTAAAGGGGGAAAAAAGTATGAAATGAAGTGATAAACTAAAATTTGAGGGATGGTTTGATGTAATATGAACTGTGAAACTATGAAAGAATATTGAATTCTTCTGATACCATTTTTATTTTACAGATGTTTAGAAAATTCAAAGTATGCTCATTTCATAAATGTTTACATATTTTATCAGTTTGGTACTGGCTGGACATGTTCGATCTGCTGTTATTGAGCTGGAACATAGGATGGTTCAGTTTAGAATTTTACTGTTATTGAGCTGGAACATAGGATGGTTCAGTTTAGAATTTTATTATCCAATTATAAGAGGCATGTTGAAAACAAATATTCAAACATTTATCTATCTGTTTAATGTGAGAATTGATTTTAGTAGGTATGAGTTATATTTCTCTGTAAATTAATGCTTTGTTTTGCTTAAACATAAACCATAGCTCTAAAATGATATATAGACTTGGATTCAAGTTTACATTCAATTCCATTCTTTTGTATCAAAAGAAATTTTTATAGGTTTGATTTACCTTGTTGTGGTACTATCAGCTTCATTATCATTCATAAATACTATAACAAAAGTGTGTTGAAAATGAAATGTCTTGAAAAAACCAAGGCTTCTATTTATGTATCCAAATAAGGTTTCCAGGTAATAAATTTTGCAACTAGTTAATGAGTCATTAGAGTCATTTGTCTCTTTACAAATTCTATTAAAGTGATGACAATTTCAAATAATTGTAACATACTAGGGGGTCAAAGAGTTATTTTGCTCTCTATTTTACTTAAAATGATAGTTTCAATAAAGGTTGTTTAATACTTTTATACTTAGATTTAAAAGTTGTCAAATTACATAAATAGTTTTATTAAATTAACCTTATTACTTACGCTCTCCGGAGACATTTACGCTCTCCGGAGACATTTATAAGCAACAAAAAATTAGATTAATTGAATAATTAATGTATATTGTATAAAATAATGATTAGATATATTATTTATTCAATGAATTTAAAAAGTTTTTTTGTTACTTATAAATGTGTCTATAGAATGTATTGTTCACATAAAAAATAATTGTCCATTTGGCCACCATTTGCTTCATAATCAATCGATGTATAATCAAATAACGGTTGAAGGTTAAATATGTCTAATGATTGGTTGGATAAGGTATTACTAGTCACTAGGCTCAAGTAGGGGTGGAAATATGCAGGGGTTTATGGCATAGCTTATTTGAAGTTGGGTCATGCCCGATTTATTTACTAAAAAGATCAGACTTAGATTATTAAAAAAAATCTATGAAGTCTTATAGACACACACACCACACGCACACATGCACGCACACGCACGCACACGCACGCACACACACACACACACACACACACCGATGTATAAGGCTTCTTAAGTAATGTGGATTTATTGAAAATCTTAATGAGAAATAGACTTTTAAATAGGCTTTCAAGTCAAGTCAGACTTTTTAAAAGGTCAGGTCAGGCCAAAAAAATGAACCTATTATAGGCCATAAGTCAGGCTCAGACCTTGTAAGTTTATCGTAGGTCAGACTCAGGCCTTATAAAGCCTAGCTTAGTAAGAGCATTTGACTATCTATTGCATCATAACCAGTTGATTATTCACGTTGAAATCAACAAATATAGAATTCTTTAACTGATCAACTGTCGATGAGACACTGCACATGGCTACCAAATTCAAATGAATAAGGTGTTTTATAAGTTATATTGGAATTATTTTCTACCGACTACATCACAATCAACCAGCACTGAAATCAATTGATGCAAAATTGACTGATATTTGTATCAATTGTAAGTGAATTTCTAAATATCACTACCCACTCCAAATGGGGTTGAAGGAAGATATTGGACCTTATTAGATTCGCGATAATGTTCAATGAGAGGAAAAGAGATTGTATCATAGATTCAAGTGTCCATACATTTAATATTCTAAATTATCAAAACTAAATAATAATGTACATAGTGAAATAAACAGGTCGATTTTGGGGTGGGTATAGTGTCCCCATTACCCGATATGTCCCCATGTTTTATAATTAGGAAAAACCCATACTAAAATTTGTAGTGTTATATTTGTAAAAGGCATCGCCTAGAGCGGTGCCCTTGGAGCGCCCTAGAAGGGGCGGCGATAGAATATCCCCTAAAGGGAGGTATCGCCTCGCCCCCGTAGGTTTTCCCTCGCCATATGTAGAAAAAATGGGATACGACATTTCTTGGATAGACAGAAAGTCAAGATCATTAACTCACCACGACTCCCTTGAATAGGAATTCAACTCTGTAATATTGATTAAGTGAGAGGTGGCCCTTTCTGATAAAACCCTAGGTCCTAGAGACCTCTATAAATACATATCCTTTTATGGAGAAAAGACATACCTAGTGATACATATTATTTACACCCTGGAGAGCACTACGCTCACTATAACCTTAATATATGACTGTTGAAAATTATTCACTTGCTACCGAGCATCACAAGTCATCAGTAGAGTGTCTTACCTCACGTGAGTAGGTCTCCTAAATTGCCTCAAAACACCATTTTATAACACCCTAAACTATTACGAACCTGCAAAGGTCTCTGAGTCTCCCTCCCCTTGTAGAGGGAACATACACACATATATTTTTGACCAGTATAGAGGCGCCCACTGCCGGGCTCCGAAAAAATTAACATGGGCCACACTTTTGTTCTAACTTTCTCTATCTTCCCCTTAATGTGGTCGATAAAACCACAACCTACAACACCGACACCATCGTTGGAGGTTTCGCTGGTGGAGGTAACTCTAGATTTTCCCAAAGGAAGTATGCAAGTAGGTATTTTTGGCAAACATAATTTCCCATGGCTTACCCAAAGGCTCTCAAGGGAAAACAAAGGTTAATATCATCTTCTCTAAGAAGGACGCCCTCAGACTCAACCCTCAAAATGATGATCCTCTAGTTATCATTGTGCAACAAGTGAACTGGGACATCAAGTGCGTCTTGATAGACTCTGGAAGCTCTGATGATGTCCTATTTCAGATACCTTCTAGAAACTACAACTCCACCAGAACGACATAAAATATTCAGTGGTTCTTTAATGGGGTTATCAAGCGAATATGTAGAAATAATGGGCCACATAACTCTAGAAACCACATGTGGAGAGGGAACTGACGCCAGGGCGATTGGTGTTAACTACCTCATTATGGACGTTGTATCACCATATGACCTCATCCTTGGGCAGCTGACTATTAATACCCACGAAGATATTATATCCACTATGTACATGACCTTGAAATATCGCTCCCCGATGGGTGAGTCAATACAATCTAAGGGGATCAATAAGTGGCTCGCGAATTCTATCTGAGTAGCCTAGAGACAACTAGAGAAGAGCTTGCACTTGTTGATTTCCCCCTTCTGAAGTTCCAAATGCTAACTTTGAGTGATGGGACCCCATCTTAGAGGTCAGAGCGGAAAAGCTCACTCCCATTGAAGATTTGAACGAGGTACAAATAGGTCCTCACGCCCACCTGGTGGCAAAGATAGGTATATTTTTGTCTCCAGAGGAGGAAATGGAACTAGTTGACCAACTCATTAAAAATGTCGACTTGTTCGCCTGAGCTCCCTCTGAAATATCAAGATAATAGACAACAAAGTGGTGAGCCATCGCCTCGCCATCCACCCTTCTGCCAAGCTAGTAACACAGAGGAAGCAAAAAGTTAGAGAGGAAAAGAGGGTTTCCATTGATGAAAATATGGGAAAACTATTTGACGTCGGGTTCATCATAGAAACGAAGTATTCCACCTGGCTGGCTAAAATGGTTCTAGTACATAAAGCTAAAAACATGTGGAATATGTGCATATATTTCACCGATATGAAAGTCGTATGCCCTAAATATTCGTACTTGTTGCCGGACATTGATCGCCCCATTGATAGATCTGAAATTATATTTTCTACAAGACATATGTTAGACACAATGTCTGGGACAATGTGTATAACTTGGTAATAATAGATTTTCATATATTAGAAAATAAATCACAAATCAATAAATAACATAAAATATTTTTAACCTAGTTCGATGCAACGTCATTTACGTATAAGGGCTTCCAACCCAAGAAAGGAAATCTACTCTTAATAGTATTAGTATAATTAGTTTTAGATGAACAAACCTTGTTCAATACTCTCTACCTAATACCATATGTGTCTTTCTATTTAAGACTATCCCTAAATATGGTAACCTCTCTCACTTTCTCTTAATCACTAACTTTAGTGATCAATACATAAATCATATCAATGGGTGTGGAAGTGCAACTCTATTAAAATAAACAAACTCCATACCTTAGATATGAAACTTAGGTGCTATAGAGGTGCATAAACAACAACAATAACAAAGATTCAAATAACTGACCCTAACACTCTTAAATATATCTCTTGCTTTATGTTCTATTTATAAGGAATGAGTCTTCTTATATAGAAAACCATATGTTGAGATTTTCTCCAACGGGCTTCAGATTTGAGGATAACCAGATTTAATTTGATTTTCAAAAACATCCATCAAGAGATTTATTTTAATTTGATCATAAACAACCTTTTTATAAAATCCTCCTAAATAACATATTGTTAAAAGATACAACAACAAATCTCATTGGAATCAAGCAGAATCATGCACATATTTACTCACAAACATTGGCTTAAAGACTGGGGCCATATGTTGCATACATGTTGGAACATCTTGTCCCACATGACACCTCTTCACAATTTTACATCTTGTTGATCATAAATAACCTTTTTAGCAAATCTTCCTAAATAACATATTGCGAAAAGATGAGGGAGTAACGTACAAAACTACGAGTCATCATCTTCTTCGAAACACTTCCCTACCATCCATTCAAGACCACTTTCTATTCTCACAATCCCACCACTTTTTTCCCTTTGCAACCCGCGGCGAACAACTCACCTACAACTGATACCACCATCCCTTCCTCCTTAAGCCACCTTCGCCACTATTTCTTCTCCAGACACT